CCCAAATACCCCTATACCCTGACTATACCACCAAAAGCATAGTGTTCTCCTTACCACCAAAAGCATAGTGTTCTCCTTACCACCAAAAGCATAGTGTTCTCCTTACCTCCAAAAGCATAGTGTTGTCCTTGTGACTGAGGGTGAACGAGCATCAGGTCTTGCCAACGATGTTTGGTCCGTTGGACCACAAGATGCCAAATTGAAAAACGGGCCCATTGGACCCGCATCTTGAGAAAAAAGAGTGGTGGGTTTCCGCCGCTATCTTCGAAGGTCAGTGGTGGATATCCTCCACCCATTTTTCTCAAGAAATGGGGTCCAAGATGCCCCAATTTTTTTTTTTTTTCCAAAGAGGCAGAGCCTCCTAGGGGCTGGGCGGGATGCCCGTGACTCCCCAGTACTGGACTCAACCGGGAGTCTGCCGGGCCGGTTGACCGGCAGGCTCCCGGTTGGGGTAGGGGCCCCCGGTCCAACCGGGGACAAGCTTTTCCTAGTCCATTTGCATTGTTTCAGTGAAGCCTATCTTTGTAGACAATCTGGGCGGCCCTAAGAGTTATGGGTTGACACCGGCCTCATTCTGCTCTGTGCGGGGAGCAGCACCCAAGCTCCTAGGGGGCCCAAGCCAATCATCACCGCTGGTGTACCCGAAGCATACCCCAGGAGACCGCGGGAATGGAAAGTACTATGTTGGGTATTGAACCCACGACCTCCTGAGTGCCACTTACGAGCTCAACCAACTGAGCTGGCCCGCTTGGGCATTGCTTTGTTTTCAAGTGATTTTTCATGGGCAGTGACAATGATGAAGACGCTCACCAAAAGGGGGACGGGCGAGGGCAAGGAGGTTGAAATTGGAACCAGGCATTGGAATCAGGGCAGTCATTGAATGGGGTGCATGAAGGGTGGAAGACAAAAAATGAAAAGGTACAAAGCTTGCAAATGATATCGTGCAAACTGACCGAATTGGATGTTGGGTGGATGGTCACTTTGCATGCTTCAGGATTTTGAGGCTGTGATTGTTGAGGGAAATGGCGCAGACACTGGGCATATCATCACGACAACGATTGGTGGAAAGAATGGGCAGCCAAAGCAGGTATTTTCCCTTTATCCTCTTCTCAGAGATCACACCGGGACTATCTTTTTCGAAAACATCTGCCTGCTGGACTATCCATGGGGCACATGTTGGTTTTATATGTAGGTGTTGTATCCAGGTTGTGGCCAGGCCCGGTTCAACGACTGGTTACAGAACGAGACTGTTGTCATCTTCTGATTGTCTTTTTCCAGTTTGCACAGTTACCCTTTGAATATCAACCTGACTCCTTCCTCCTAAAGGGGTTTGACAATCGAATGCCATACACTCTTCGAGGATGGAATTCAAAATAAGGTCAGTAAGCGGTTTTGTCCTTCTTCCCACATCTCCGTCTGTGTTGTAGATGGACCTCGCCATATATGGCCGTTGTTCTTCCTGCTCACCAGTTGGAACTTGTGTCAATGATTTTCTTCGCAACAGTGATGTTTTCTTGCCTCTGCAAACCGCCCGCGCATTCTGTTGTCACCTCTCCGTCCTTTTGCCGCAGCAGAACTGTTTGCCAACGCTCTGCGACTGGCACTACTGTCTTCACCCAAATAGAGCCCCGTGCTAGGCTGTTTTTCCGGGCGCCGGGGCATCCAACTTATGCCCGGATACACACCCGGGTGCCCGGCCGGTAGGGTTCTGGGCAGCCCCCGCCGCAAAAAAAGAAAATGAAATTTCAAATTTTTCGGAAAACAAATGTTGTGTAGAATTGCAATACAAATGACTTTTGGCTGAGGGTCACATCAGAAGTCCTCAAAGAATTGGAGATAAAAAAGAAAACAGCAGAATAACACTAAAGCACCCCCCTTTAAACCCCTTTAGCCCCTTTAAAACCAATTTATATCCCTGTCCCCCCCCCTTGACAGCCAACTCTTACAAAAGAAACGAACCCGATTTGGGGTCCTCTGGGAGAGTGCAGAAAACCAATATATATATATATTTTATTTTTTTTCACACCGGGTACCCTGGCCGTCACACCCTGGTAGAGAACCGGCCGGGTGTGACAATCTTCCTAGGCGCAGGGTCATTTTAGCTGTATTTGGTGCAAATGCCTGTCCGGATATGGCCATTATTACTGGGCGTTCTATTTGGGTGAAGACGGTAGTAGTGCATTGCCAGGGTTTCTGCATGTGTGTGTGCAGAGGGCTGACTCTCCTTTCCTGACTATGTGCACCTTCGGCATCTCGGACATCATGTTTGTCTGTTGTGGCCAGGGGCGTTATGATGAATGCATGGTCTTCTGTAATGAGCCTTCTTCCTTCCCTCTGGGCTGCAACGACATGCCATTTGTCAGGAGTGCTTACTGGGCATGCTTAATGCCAGCCATCGTGGCAACTGATATGCCGAGGATGATTTAGCTAGGTCTTCCATGTCAGCAATCATCTTCACACCTACTACTGTTCATGTCCTTCCTGTCATGAAGGACGGACTGATTCCTGAGTCTTTTGTTATCCTTCCGATGCACCCATCTTTATTCCACACTTGTCCCTACCCCCCTTTATTTTTGTGAACTCCTGTCTGGGTCTGCTAGAGGGTGTGATATGAGCATCCCTCCCTTACGTCTTTTCTCTTTTCTTTTCTTTTCTTTTTATTGTTTTCTCGTTTTAAAAAAAACAGGTCCTTATGACCCTGGCTCCACATCCGTTCTGGGGATCATCAGTCCGGCTCCTGTTCCAGCGGCAAGTCCAAAAATTACATCTTTTAAATACACACATCCTTCCGTTTGGCTGAAGGATCCCTGGTCGGTATCGATTGGCATCTTTCCTCGTTTCTTTTTTTTCCTTACCTTTTTTTCCCCAAAAAACTTGGACCGTTTCTCGATTCATGTGTGTCATCCTTGTGCAGGGGCCATGCTAATCTTTTTTTTTTTTTTTTTTTTTTTTTTTTTGACACAAACACAGTATTACAACTGTTTATTAAACTCAGCGCATCGTTTTCACTGAATAACCTCAGAACCCTGTTGCGCTACCCTCAGAGGGGTAGCGCCTCAACCCCCCCACCCGGAACAGCTAAAAATAGCACCGAAACCCCAGGTAACACCCAGCGCCACCCTGACATCCAACTCAGTGGCCTGCGCTAAAGTGAAACAGGCTCCCAGAGCCAATCGCCGCCCAGATGATAAAGAAGAAGCTCAGCGCCAACAGTCCCTGATGAAGATGAAGTCCAGACGATGAGATCTCTGAGAAGATGCAGCTATGGCTGCATCGCCACTGGGACCCTACTCCTGAGGAGGGTCAGCAGTGCACCACGTGCTCCAACGCATCAGACCTCTGATAGCCCAGACCGCTTTGACTCCCAGAGAGTCAGAGCGGACAGCGTTGACCCCAGTCTGGTCAGCGCTCCGAAGGTCTGGCTATGTCCGCCGTCTCCACCACGGGAATCAGCAACCACGACCTGATGTCCCCATCCTTTATACTCTAACACTAGCCTAGACCGACCTAGACCGGACTGACTGACCGACCGGTACCGTTTCTGTTTCGGCCTCTAGGACCGCTCCCTACCCGGCTATAGGCTATAGGACCGTCTATCAGCATAGGCCCATAGGGCCTGTCTGTCCTAGGGGTAGCCCGGGTCTGCTATTCACAGTTAGGGTAGCTGTAGGAAAATCGAGTTAGTACTGGGCCCATATTTCTATATTTACAGATATGTCCCTCACAAATTTTCCATACAGGCAGGTCTCTCGGTTAGTCCTCAGCCAAACAAAATTGTTTTTTTTTTTTTTTTTTTTTTTTTTCTTCCCCCCTTTGAAATGAGGATTGATATTACACTCAAAATGAGGCCGGGAATCCCTCAACATATCAACCCGGATGTGGAACCTGCTGGAAACCGGGTCCAGCGTCCCATGGGAATCCAACTGTGACACTGTCTTGCTGGAAACCGGGTCCAGCGTCCCAACATCTATAATCTCATGGAAAAGAAAATTGGAAACTGGACATATCAACGTGAGGTGCAAGTAGGGTGTTATGACACACAGGGATGTAGGCAGCTCGTGCCCAATGTATCAACGTGGGGAGCCCTGTACATGAGAGGCACAGTAAAGGTAGAGCCAAAAGAAGAAATGAAAGAGAAACCATGAAAAAAGCTGGGTTGTTCTTCCAAGGGCCTGGTACAAAATTTGTGACTTGACGCAAGGCTGGTCGCCTGGCGGAGCTCTTGGCGGCGTCCCTGCACAAAGTAAAAAGAAGTATAAAAAGTCTGGAAAGAAATGTGATGTGCCAGCTGTGTGGAACTCCCTTCCAAACAACTTTTGGCTGAGGGTTACCGCAGGATTCCTAACTGAATCGATGAAATAAAAAAAATAAATAAATACAAAAACAAAAAAAAAAAAGACCAAGGCAACCATCTTTAAACCCCTTCGGACTGCATTCCCGTGAATGCAACAAAGCCCTATGGACGGACAAAAAAAAAGGTTTCCGCAGTTTTCACATGCTCGCGCAGAGCCTGCGATCGGGTGGCCAAAGCCATACTGAGCTGTACCCACCCGCACCCGTCCGGGTTGGGTTCGGCTTTCTGTAAATGGGATTGGCCTGGGTGTATGGCCTGGTGCAAAAGGCTGAATACGGCCGCCATGGGTAGATAAGGGTGAGTAAGGTCCAATATGGGTGGGGACAGACGGGTGTGGAATGAATTTTGATGAGCCTGGAAAGATACAGGGAGTCAGGTGTTACTAGCCCACTACTGTCTTCCGCGAATGCAACGTATGGTCATTATACCCTGTATTTGGAGCGGCTTTCAGTCTAGATGCATGGATAATGACCCTACGTCTTATTCCGGGCCACTTCGTATCCAGGCCTGTTCTTAAAAAAAATTCCGATTGTTTTCATCTGTTGTGTGACTGTGTCACAGATGTCCTTGGTACACTGGCTGATAGCCGCTTCACGAAAAATAGTGCATCTTCATGCAAAAGAACAAAGAAATAATAGACCGCATTGTCATACAATAGTAATGCGATAGAGGCATGGATTGCTTGTTCATTAAAGCCAGGTTGCATATTGGTTTTCCTTGAAGTACAGGCCGGGCTGGAGACGGGTTTGCAAAAGGGTAAGGACGGGTCTGTGTGTTGGGAACGTTTGACCTATGGGTGGGACCTGGTCTGGGTGTTGAGAACATTTTAGCTGTGGGTGGGTGTTACGGATCTGGCCAAGGCTCGATCCCTGGACCTCATGCGTGGTACCGGACATTTATTTTTCTCTGCCATGTCCTCGGTACCAGCACATTTTACGTTTCTGTCCCTTGGACATTTTTACCGGTACCCCTTTGGCACCGACGGATGTCGTACATACCCCTGAGCCCACCCTAGCCGTTAGGCTGTCCCCAGGTATATGTACCAGTCTCACACACGGGTGAGACATCTTGCGCTGTACTCAGTTTTCGGACATTGAGTGCGAGTTGCTCCTGGTACTCTTCTTTCAGCCTCCTCATCGTACCAGTAGAGTTCTGCGTCGGAGTCTGGTTGTGTGTGCGAGTGATTACTCTCTCTCAACCTAGTGCTCGTCACACTAGTATCGGAGCGGGAGAGATCCGTCCTCCCACCCTGCTTTCTGTCCAAGACCCCCTGCTACGTGGCAAGGAAGAGCATAAATTTCAAGCATCGTCATCTTCACGGTCGTGATGAACATGATTGATGCCTCCATCACCGTTCCTCGTCATGGCTGATTATCATTGCTTGGTCACTGCTGTTGCCGTCATCATCGTCATTGTGAACCCTTGAGCCCAGCCTAGCCGTTAGGCTGTCCCCAGTGTCCAGACATTTATTTTTCGTTGCTTTGTCCTTGGTACCAGCACAGTTTACATTTCTGTCCCTTGGACATTTTTACCGGTTCGCCTCTGGTACCGACTTATTTCGTACATACCCCTGAGCCCAGCCTAGCCGTTAGGCTGTCCTCAGGTATATATACCGGTCTCACACATGGGTGAGACATCTTGTGCTGTACTCAGTTTTCAGACATTGAGTGTGAGCTCGACATTGAGTTGCTGCTGGTAGGTACTCTTCTCTGACCGTCCTCATCGTGCCAGTCGAGTTCTGTGTCGGAGTCTGGTCGTGTGTGTGAGTGTTCACTCTCTCTCACCCTTCCTCCTCCTCCTCCTCGAACCTAGTGCTCGTCACAGTGGGGCCGGGTTCGGGTACAACAATTTACCCGCTCCTGGGTTGGGTTGGGCTGGGTGTGGGTGGCTGTTTCATCATTGTTCCCCTATAACAAGTGCACGGTGATGTTGGAAAATATCTTAGCGTGCGTTGAAACGACAGAGGCTAAGCTAAAGTTTCTTCAACTGTTTTGCCTAATGTTTGTTTCCCTGGTTTTTGGGGATCCGACCCTGCAAATATAATGGAGTTTTAGGAGGAAGAGAAGGTGGGCAAAGAGGGGATGGAGTATGGGGCGGTTTTGTGGGTATCCCTGAACATATAGCTGACTCCCTGTCATTGGTGGCCCTGTCTCTCTCCACAGTCTATCAGCTATTCGGCGGAAAGAATTGTTGGGAACGGATCCTTTGGAGTTGTTTTTCAGGTATGTAGGATTGTGTATGTTGTTATGATCCTGGCTATTCCGAAGTGCAAATACACAAGGAAAGACAATGCCGTCCCATTGGAAAAGACGTGAAAGGACTTGGAAAGAGAGAGAAAGGAGGAGGAAGAAATAAGAAAGAAGGAATTCCCCTTTTCTCACCACTCACTCCGTCCTCCTTATCTCTTATTCTTCGATAAATATCATAGTTGCGGAGCACCTTGGTGCGCAGATTTGTGCACGATTTGCGCACCGCACCACACACCACACCGAGGCGCACCACATCAGAAAAATTAAGGTCGGGGAGTAGGGGGTTCATAATTTCTAAGCGCCCCCCCCCCCCCCCCCCCCCCCCCCCCCCCCCCCCCCCC